TGTGGTTGGGAGCTAGAGAGCTGAGTTTAAAACTTTTATCTCGCACGTGCATAAAGAATATCCTTGCAACGTTTCAGCTTTCTACGCTACCTGGTTCGCGAAATCGTTTCTCGCCAACAAATTTCTTTGGGGGTCCCGTACGGGGGGTTTAGGCGCGTATGGGGAAAGATCTTAAAACGGGAGGATGACACACGGGGTAGGAACATATGTCCAAAGTTTCAGTCTCCCAGCTTTCCTGGTTGCTGAGTTGAAAGCGGGTGACAAAATACACTCGCTTTCCGAACACACACACAGCCTCTCGACAATATTCGTTTTTGCTGGATGCAGCGCTGCTAAAGCGTTGCACAGCAAAAATGCTTAAAAAGAGAGCTAAACGGGAACTGTTTATTTTTAGCGTTTTTGCTGTACAGCGCTATAGCGCTTCTACAGCTGACAAAAACGCTTATTGTCGAGAGGCTGTGTGTGCGTGTGTGTGTGTGTATTCGGAACTGAGTGCATTTTGTCACCCACTTTCATCTCAGCAACCAGGAAAGCTTGGAGGCTGAAACTTTGGATATATGTTCCTCCCCCGTGTGTCACCATCCCGTTTTAAGACCTTTCCCCATAAGCGCCTAAACCCCGCGTACAGGGCCCGCAAAAAAATTTGTTGGCAGGAAACGATTTCACGAATCAGGCAAGGTAGAAAGCTGAAACTTTGCAGGGATATTCTCTGTGCACGTGCGAGCTAAAAATTTCAAACTCAGCTGTCGAGCCCCCGACCACAGCCTCAAGCAGCCTCTCAACCCAAAAATCGTTCGCATCTCGGGTCTGAACAGCAATCGTAAATGCAAACGAACAAACGACCGTTTGAGCAACAGTTTCAATTTTTCAAGAACTGGAAATTGCATTTTTTCAGAAAATTTGTATTTTTCATTATTTCACAAGGCGAGTATTTACCGAAAAAACGATCAGATTGCATGCAAAAAACCAGTAATCATGCACCTGGATGTCCGTTCGGCTGTATAATGCACCGCCTTTTTTTTCCCGACTGACGTTCTTCCTCCTGCGTGCCGGAAAGTATCAAAGCACGCCGATATGACCCAGTGTTAGGCTACAGTGTGGATCATTCCAGCTAATAGCGATCAGCGAGTTTAGTGCAAAAACGCATGATTGCACCCGAAAACCTGGTGCGTTTCAGCCTGGGTCGTTTATGCAGTGCGATGATTTACGGTAGTGATCGCATAAGGTAAACGTAAAACAACAATAGTTATGCAGTTAACCTAATTATTTCAAGTCTGCAAACTTGATCGCACCGAAAAACTTGGTGCATTCCAGCGCAGGTTTGAAAATGACCTAGCTGTACAGTAAGCAGCTTTCCCGCCAGAAAAGTTAAGTGCCAATACACGAGAACCTCTTACATCCGGAAGCTGAATTTGAAACCTTAAGGTTGCATTCCGACAGAGAATATTCTCCCGAAATTTTAGCCTCCCAGCTTTTCTGGTTACAGAATTAGCGATTTTCCCGCAGAAATTTCACGAGCTAGTAAGTTAGTACGATGCGCAGCTGAGAGCTGAATTTGAAATCTTTAGCTCACAGAAGCACAGAGACCCGTGCAATGCTTCAGCTCGCTGTCTTGGCCAGTTTCTGAGATCGCTTTCCAACAAAAAATCTGCATTTTTTAAAAGGCATCCGTACGTGCGACTAGGCGCACGCGGGTGATGATGTTAAAATGGAAGGATCGCACATGGTGTAGGTGCACGAAATTTCAGCCTTCGAGCTTTACTGGTTTTCGAGCTGAAAGTGGATGACAAAAAGTGCGAACACGAAGACACACACACACAACTTCTTTCAACCCCCTCATGCAGTACTGCAAATTCTGCAAATTGCAAAAACGCATATTGGGAAGAGGCTGTCTGTGTGTGTGTTCGCACTTTTTGTCACTCACTTTCAACTCGAGAACCAGAAAAGCTAGAAGGTTGAAAATTTGAGGATATGTGCCTATACCAAGTGCGACCGTCCCTTTTTAATTTCATCCCCCGCGGACGCGTGGGTGCAGTGTACGGACGCTTCAAAAAATATGCAAATTTTTTGGCGGGAAAGCTATCTCGGAAACTACACGAGCTAAGGCGCTGAAACTTCGTAGGGATATCCCCTGTGCATGTACTAGCTAAAGATTTCAAACCCAGCTTCCAGTTCTGCGTGGTACCCATGTAAGAGAGTTTGAAAGTTTTAGGAGAAAAATTCCTAACTCGGCTACCAGAAAAGCTGGAAAGCTGAAACTTTGAGGGAATGTCTCCTATCCAAGTACTACTCAAATATTTCAAATTCGGCCCGCTGGTGTGCATGGTACTCATGTAAGGGCGTATGAAAGTTTTAAAGGGAACATTGTTAACTAGGGTACCAGGAAAACTAGAGAGCTGAAATTTTGGGGGAATGTCTCCTATTCAAGCACAACTCAAATGTTTCAAATTCAGCCCCAAATCTTGCGTGGTACTCACGTAAGGGCGTATGGAATTTTCTGCAGGAAAATTACTAATTTAGCAAGCAGAAGAGCTGGAAGACTAAAATTTTAAAGGGATATTCACTGACAAAGTGCAGTTTAAAAATTTCAAATTCAGCTTTCTAGATACGTGGAGTACCCACGTACGGGTATTTGAAGGTTCTGGTGGGAAAATCGCTAACTCTGTAATCAGAAAAACTGGAAAGCTGAAATTTTGGGAGAATGTTCCCCCTCCAAGTACAGCTTAAGTATTTCAGATTCAGCTTGAGGTATGCGTGGTCCTTATTTTCGGTCACTTAAAAGTTCTGGCGAAAAAATTTCTCACTGAACAAGTAGGCAACTTTTAAAGAACGACTGTTGAGTGGAAATTGTACATTTACTTTGCAAAAATTTATGGTGGTTTATGCTAGTGACCGCAACAGGTAGATGTAAAGCAAAGCCATTCATGCAGTCAATGACCTGAGTATTTCAAGTCCGGTGCAAAAACGCATGATCGCACGGGCCCGCTCGGTGTGATCATGCGTTTTTGCACTAAACTCGCAGATCACTATTAGCAGGAATAATCCCTACGCTGTAC